GAACAAAGAACAAAGAACAAAGAACAAAGAACAAAGAACAAAGAACATTACAGCACAGGAACAGGCCCTTCGGCCCTCCAAGCCTGCGCCGATCCAGATCCTCTATCTAAACCTGTCGCCTATTTTCCAAGGATCTGTATCCCTCTGTTCCCTGCCCATTCATGTATCTTTCTAGATACATCTTAAATGATGCTATTGTGCCTGCCTCTACCACCTCCGCTGGCAACACGTTCCAGGCACCCACCACCCTCTGCGTAAAGAACTTTCCACGCATATCTCCCTTAAACTTTTCCCCTCTCACCTTGAAATGGTGACCCCTAGTAATTGAGTCCCCCATTCTGGGAAAAAGCTTCTGCATGGGTTTCCTCTGGGTGTTTCAGTTTCCTCGCACAGTCCAAAGATGTGCAGGTTAGATGGATTGGCCATGGGAAATGCAGTGTTACAGGGATAAGGGGAGTGTATGTGGGGGAGGCGGGGGAGTGAGTCTGGATGGGATGCTCTTCGGAAGGTCGGTATAGATTGGACTGATTGGCCTGTTTCCACGCTATAGGGATTCTATGAGGCTGTGGATACAAACATAGCAAGTGCAGTGTCTACAGATCAGAAGTAGGCCAGGTATCATTTGAAAGACATGTTTTCTGCTATGCCCAACTCTCACAAACATCAGTGTGGGACTCCACGAGACATGTCTTCCATGCGGAAAATCCCATTACACTGGAAGATGTTGAATGTAACTCCATTAAAGAGGGAGGGAGGCAGACAGCAGGAAACTGCAGGCTAGTTAGCTTAACATCCAGAGGGAAAATCTTAGAAGCTATAATTAAAGGCAGTATAGCAGGGCATCGAGAGCATGGCAAGGAAATCAGGCAGAATCAATGTGGTTTTGACAAGGGAAATCATGTTTAACTAATGGAGCTCTTTGAAGAAGTGACATCCATTTTATTCAGAATGTAACAGGTGAATGTACAACATTAGATTTCCAGAAGGGCTTTAGGTTTAGGTTCATAAATCTGCTTGAGAGGGGGGAAATCTGCTGTCCTTACCCAGTCTGGCCTACATTGGACCCCAGACACACAGCAATGTGGATAGCTTTAACTTTTAAGATCTCTGGTACAGACAGGAGGAGTCAATGGGCCTTTTCTTGGGGAATGGAAAAAGACCCATCAAGCCATTCAGTTCACGTGATTTTAGGGTTGGGCAATAAATGCTGACCTAGCCAGCAGTACCTGCATCCCATGAACGAAGAGGAGAAATCGAGTGGGCAAAGATGTAGCAAATATAGCATAATGTGAGAAAAATGTGGAATTGTCAATTTGGCAGGAAGAACAAAACAGAACATCATCTAAATTGTGAAGGACCACAGAGAGAGATTGGAGTATCCTTGTGAATGAATTGCAAATGACAGTATGCAGTTACAGCAAGTAAGCAGGAAAGCAAATGGAATATCATTTATTGCAAGGGAATCGAATACTAAAGAATGGAGGGTGTGCTTCAGTTTTGCAGGACACTGAGTCAATATCTGGAGTGCTGTGTACATTCTTGGTCTCCTTATTTATGGAAGTAAATACATTGGAGGCAGTTTAAAGATGGTTTACTAGATTAACACCTGGAAGTGGGCAGGTTGTCTTATGAAGAAAGTTGGAATTTAGAACTTGAAGAGGAGCCTTGGTTGAAGATCCTGAGTGGCCTTGACCGAGAGGATGTGGAGAGCATGTTTTCTTGATAGAAAATCTAGAACTGTGGGTCACTGTTTAAAAACAAGGGGTCGCCCATTTAAAACTCTGATTAGGAGAAATGTTTTTCCCTCAGAGGGTTGTAAGTCTTCAGAACTCTTCCTGACAAGAGGGTGGAAACATAGAAACATAGAGAGGAGGAGAAGGCCATTTGGCCCATTGAATCCTCCCTGCCGTTCAACTTGATTATGGCTGATACTCAAACTCGACACCATACTCTCGGTCTCTCCCTGTATCCCTTGATGCCTTCAGCTTTTAGAAATCTACTTCATTCTTGAATACATTTAGTGACTTGGTCTTCATAGTTTTCTGTGGGAGAGAATTCCACTGGTTCACCACCCTTTGAGTGAAAATATATTTCATCATTTCAGTCCATCTCATCTCCTGACACCTTGTTCTGGACCCTCAGCTGCATTAAAACATCATTCCTGGATCCAGTCTCTCCAACCCCATATCAACGAGATCCCCTTTTATTCTTCTGAACTCCTCTGAATATAGGCCCAGTCAAACCGATCTCTCCTCGTACAACAAATCTTGCTATGCAGGAATCAGTCTGGTGAACCTTTGCTGCACTCCCTCTGTGGCAAGGATAGATTTTCTTAGGCAAGGAAACCAAATCTTCATGTAATACTGCAGGTGTAGTCTCACCAAGACCCTACACAGCCACAGTAAGACATCTTTGCTCTGTACTCAATCCCTCTTGTAATGAAAGCCAATTGTTTACCTTCCTAACTGCTTGTTGCACCTGTATGCTTGCTTTCAATGACTGGTGTAGGACATCCAAATCTACCTTTCCCAATCTGTCAACATTTAAATAATACTCTGTCCACTTAGTCAGAAGAACAGAAAGGCAAAGTCATACTTGTCCATGTTAAACCACATTAACCATGCATTTACCTTCTTCACCCCCTCACATCATCTGCAGTACTCACTGTCCCACTTAGTTTTATGTCATCAGTAAACTTAGAAATATCACATTTGATTCCCTCATTCAAACTGTTACTCTACATATCCATACATATTCTAACATTATTTTTATATATAATACATATGGGGCCCAAGCACTGAAACCTGTGGTACCCCACTTGTCAATGCCTTCGACTCTGAAAATGACCTATTTATTTGAACCTTTTCCTGACAGCTAACTAATTCTCAATCCGTTCCATTACCAATCCCATGTTTCAACTTTATCCACTGCTTTCCGAAGGTCCAAATACACCACACCCACTGGTACTCCCTTATCTAGTCTACTGTTTTTCTTAAGAAAAACATTCAGCAGGTTTGTCAGAAACAATTTACCTCATAAATCCATCCTGACTGTGTAATCCCTTTGGTATTTTCAAAATGTCTTGTTATTACATGACAGAGTTAGAGTCTTTGTTTTTTTTAAAAAGATAGTGGTAAATAGATTCTTGGTGAGTAAAGGAGTAAAAGGTGACGATCAGGATCAAGCAGGAATGTGGATTTGAGATTTATGTTTGGGTCAACCATGATCACACTGAATCGTGGAACATGCTCAAGGAATTGAATGGCCTTATCCTCCTCCTAATTCTTCTGTTTGCTCTGTATTAATATACGAGGTCTGGGAGCATCTTTTAGAGTTGGGAGAAGTTAGACATGTGGTAGGTTATGTCAGTGAAATGAGAAGGAGTGGGAAAATGAGAAGTGAGGGTCTGTGGTTGTGGTGCTGGGGGTCTTCACAAGGCTGGACAAAGGAAGAAAAATCTTCCAAAAGGTTGGAGGAAACCAGTTGTGTGAGGGGGCAGCAAGCTGCAATGAAGGAGCTGCCAACAAAGCTCTTCTTGTGGATCTTGGGGAGGAGCAGGGGGACATGGGTGTGAAGGATATGGAGGAAAGAGGTGGTTAGTGATAGGCATGGAAAAAAATGGCCTGATGTTTAATGGTGAGGTTGTAGTCTGGGGGCAGGCAGGAGGAAGTGTCAGAGAGTAGACCTTCCACCTCCAAGGTAGAGGTGTTTCATTAAATAACTGCAAACATCAAACTGCAGCATGTGTTAATGACAATGTTGGGCCTGGAATGCAGCAAGTTTGCACTTTCCTCAGCTCAGGTGAAGAGTCAGCCCTGAAACATAACTGTTTCTCTCTCTACAGATGCTGCCAGACCTACTAAGTTTATCTAGCACTGTTTCCATCCTCATCAACTTCAGCCTTATGAAGCAGTCTCCCAGCTCAAAAGGCTTCCGCTATATTAATCCAGCTGCCCAGGAGCTAGAAGGCAACATTTTAGAAGCCCTGCATTTGAAAAGGTGCATGATATTTGGCAAACCTGCGCCCCCTGGTGCCCTGAACTCTCAACAGCAGCAACACTAAACCACACAAAGCATAGCTCAAGGCTCAAAATCAGAGTTGTTGCTACTCACGTGGATCTCAACAGGCCGTGGTAGAAAGCAAAGTAAACCAAAGAGTTGTCATTGTATTCCCAGCTGGATAATCCATTTCCAACAGCCATTCCCTGGAAAAGCAACATTAACATTAACGTTACTATGGAACAAAGGAACCAGGGGATGTATTGGCCCTCATTCAGTTTGATCATGACTAATCTTCTTTAAAAGATGTACTCACCTTTATTCGATGCCCTCTATATCCTTACCTAACTAACATCTCAATATCCATAGCCTTTAATGGAGAAAGTTCCAGATTTCCACTGTCTTCCAGTAGATGAATGCTTCCTGAATCCACATCCTACAGAGCTATTGAACTCTTTGGTTGATTCCCCTGCAACAGTGAATAGCTTCTCTGCATCTTTCCTACCCAATCCTGTTAAATGCATTGACTAGGCTGCCCAGGAAATGATGGAAAATGCAAGCGAATTTAGAAAGCCGTTGTTCATAATTGGAGATCTGTCTGATGATCTGACCCAAGAGCACATTAAACCACACTGGCCAGCTACTTGCATGGAGAGTTGGTCTGGATTGAAGCAGGACAACATCCAGTGTCATGGTTACTGGATTGTGGGGAAATATCCTGAGGGACTGGGCTCAGATTGTCCTAGAATTGAGAAGGCAGGGGGAATGAAATGAAGAATTTCAGATTAGTTCTTGAGATGAAGGCTACTCTGAAAAAGTAGCATTTATTACTCAGATGCCTTTAGGACAGTATAGAGTCAAACAGGACAGGAAAAGGTCCTTTGGCCCATTGAATCTGTGCCAGTCATACAATTCTTACAGTGCAGAAGGAGGCCATTCAGTCCTTCAAGTCCACACTGACTGTCTAAAGAGCACCCCACCCAGACCCGACCCCGTAACCCCGAATTTCCCATGGTTAATCCACCAAGTCTGCACATCCCTGGACTGTGGGAAGAAACCAGAGCACCCGGAGGACACCCACGCAGACATGGGGAGAATGTACAAATTCCATACAGACAGTTGCCCGAGGGTGGAATCGAACCCAGGTCCCTGGCGCTGTGAGGCAGTAGTGCTAACCATTGAGCCACCGTGCCGCCCACAGACTAAAACAAGCCCCTAAGTATTTCAATTTTCCAGCACTTGGCCCATAGCCTTTGGCATCACGAGCGTGCAGCTAAATATGAGGACGATCCACCTTCTAGTGTGGGACTGGAGTCACATGTAAACTGGACCAGCTGTAAGGAACAGATTTATTTCCCTGGAGATTATTTCACAACAACCCAACAGCTTCTTGTTGCCATGCAACAACTTGACTTTTACAATTTTCATAGCAGAATTATAATCACGAGTTGCTGGTCTGATGCCATTAATTACTAAACACCTGAACTCTTCCAGTAAGACACAGAATATGATCACAACGAAGGAAACCACTTGGAAAACACCTTCTTCAGGCGAAGACAGGATGGGCAATTAATGCCGGCCTGGACTCCTCTGAAGTGAAACCAAAAGGATTGCGGTTTTCCCTGAAGTAAAACAAAAAAAAACAGACTGCATGCATTTGACAGCAGGACATTCCAAAGTGCTTGTGACATATAGTAATTGTTGTAATGTAGGAAACATGGTCATCCAATAATGCACAGCAAGATCCCACAAACAGCAACAAGCAGACAACCTGGTTTTTTGTTATTAGCAATGTCAGTTGAGGGTAACATTGGCTCTTGAAAACTTGAGTTACTTTTCAAATGGTCTTGAACTCTGACATTTCACCAGTAGAGGATACTCCCATCGGGATGGCTACACATCCCATTTCCCCCATTCTAATCAAGAAAAACAAGCATTGAGCCATTTATGGAGACAAAAAGTCACTGACATGGGGTATTAACTGGGATTCCCACCCCCACCAATGGTGCCTGACCAACTGAAAACTTTCTGGCGTTTTCTTTACGCTTTTCCGTTGCGTGACTCCCCACCTGAAAACGGATGCTGCGATCAGTCATGACACGCTCTGCCAGTGTTGGCACGTAGATCCCTCCGTAACTCTCCCCTGTGATGTAGAAACTATTCTTGCTGTATTCAGGGAACAGACGGAAGAACTCCTTCAGAGCCAGGAAGTTATTGAACGAAACCTGAGAGAGGAGAAACACAGACGGGGTGGGGCGGGGGTGGAAATAGACAGAGAAAAATGTTCCCATCAGTTCAGACAGTGCAGGTAATGAGGATTCCTGGTGAACCAAGTCATGGTGTAAGGCAAAGCTCAACTGGTCTCATTGTGACCCCTATTCTGGGGCTGAAAAAACGCCGAGACCCCCAACCCAAGGGAGGAGATGCTACGGGAAGTGGGGGATGTTGAGGGAAGATGCTTGTAGGAGGAGGTTGGGTATGGAGGAAATGCCCTTGGGAAGGCAGGGCATAAAGGGAGAGGGGGGTGCCAGAGACCCGTGACAGTGGTAAGGGGGTGGAGCTGTGTACGGTATGTTTAATCCACTGGCTTTTTAAGTACACAGCTACTTCCCATTAATTTTGCTTGCAGACAGGTTGCAACCTATTAATATCAGGCAGTGAGGCCACACACGTTTGTCAAAGAACATGCAGGATTTAAAGAAACCCTGAGGTTGTTGAGAGTCAGACTCCATCAGAACCCTCTGATGACCCCAGTGAGAGTCACAACCTACAGTCTGGGAAACCCTGCTGTTAAAAGCAAAACAGGCCCAGCATAAACTACAAATGGTGTGTCATTTCAGTTATCTGTGACTTAAATGAACATGGGAAAGAAATAATTATTCATTTCTCTAACAGCATAAGGACAGCACGGTGGCTCACTGGTTAGTACAGCTGCCTCAGTGCCAGGGACCTTGGTTTATTCCAGCCTCGGGCTACTGTGTGGAGTTTGCACATTCTCCCCATGTCTCCCACAGTCCAAAGATGTGCAAGTTTAGGTGGTTTGGCCATGTGAAATTGCCCGTAGTGTCCAAGGATGTGTGGGCTAAGTGGATTAGCCATGGAAAATGCAGGGTTACAGGGATAGACTAGGGGATGGGTTTGGGTGGGACCCTCTTTGAAGGGTCGGTGTGGATAAATAGCCTGCTTCCACAATGTAGGGATTGTATGATTCTACGATAATGCAGTTCCAGAGACAGCTACACAGGCACACTTCAACCCAACTTCTGAATGTTGGCTTTGGACAAGGTCCAGAGGGGAGTTAAAAGAATAATTCCTGGTTTTAAAGACTACTCCAATAAGCTTCATCTATTTGCTTGAGCAACTGCGGTGATCTGGTAAGAGATTTAGATAAAAATCACAGAAGAGCACCATATTACACCTATTGAGAGATTGCTTGAGATTAAGAGATACCAGTTTTAAACAGAGGACCAGGATGAGGGCATTAAACCATGTTAGAGTCATAGAATCACACAGCATGGAAACAGTCCCTTCGGTCCAACCAGTCCATGCCGGCCATGCTCCCAAAGTATACAGTCCCACGTGCCTGCACTCGGCCCATATCCCTCCAACTTCGTTGCTTCCTTTTGTAATTATTTGGACTACAGGAGTTCCAAAATGGTTCAAAATAAAAATCTTATGATTCTGAATCGTAGAGTGTGACTAGACTAGACTTTTGATCCATGATCTTCCAGCTTCATTTGGATCACTAGAAGAGGTGGATGAGGAATTTTGCAGGATATATATTCCCCTATAGGTGCTGAGATTTGCTTCTTCATGGATGTAAGACGTAACAGGATAGAGGGGCAGGTAGAAAAAGTCTAATCACATGCTCCGTCTGTCAGGAGGGTGTAACAGGCTAGTCAAACAAGGTGGTCTTTTTCATACGGCTGCAGTTTGAAGTCCTCAGGTCAGACTGCTCACTCCCTATTCCTACCTATGAATACAGATTGTAACAGGCAAAATGATGGCACCATTTAGGGTTGCCAACTGTGACGAAATCAATTCCTGGAGATTTCATCTCATGACCAGACTCCAGCCGGTAGTCATAGAATCCCTACAGTGTGGAAAGAGGTGTGACCTTTACAGCTTTATAAAATCATGCAGGGCGTGGATAGGGTGAATAGCCATGGTCTTTTTCCTAGGATGGGGGAGTCAAAACTAGAGGACATAGGTTTAAAGTGAGAGGGAAAGATTTATAAAGGACCTGAGGGGTAGCTTTTTCACGCAGAGGGTGGTGAGTGTATGGAACGAGCTGCCAGGGGAGGTGTTGCAGGCTGGTTCAATTCCAACATTTAAAAGGCATCTGGATGGGTACACAAATAGAAAGGGTTAACAGGGATAGGGGTCAGATGTTGGCAAATGGGATTGGGATATCTGGTTGGCGCAGATGAGACAGACCGAAGGGTCTGTTTCCATGCTGTATGACTGTATGACCCATCAGGTCTGTATCAATCCTCTGAAGGGCATCCAGTCCAAACCCATCATCCTACCCTATCTTGCAACCCTCATTTACCATGGCTAACCCATCCAGCCTGCATATCCCTGGACACTATGGGGCAAGTTAGCATGGCCAATCCATCTAGCCTGCACAAGTTGGGACTATGGGAGGAAATTGCAGCACCCAGAGGACACACACACAGACAAGGTGAGAACATGCAAACTTCACACTTAGGATTTCCCAAAGCTGGAATCGAACCCATAGGAACTGAGAGGCAGCAATGCTAACCACTGAGCCACCATGCTGCCTAGTCAGACAATAAACTGACAGTCTTCCTCCTGCAATTGGAAAGCAAATGACGCATAAACCAACTGGATTTTCTTTCTGAGATAGTAGGAACTGCAGATGCTGGAGAATCTGAGATAACAAGGTGTAGAGCTGGATGAACACAACAGG